GCCTGTGCTGCTCAGGCAGACAAGCTGGCCAGCCTTAGCCCCGGCATAGGTTCAGCTGCGGGTTCTGCCCGTGCTTGTGCTCCGCAGTGCCGCCCGCCCTGGGGAGATGCCCACAGGTATGCTGTCCTGCCTGGTTTAAAACTGGCTCCCCATGACTTGAGGTAAAAGTCTCAAGGATACCCCCATGGTCTCTCTCCCTCTGCTTGCCAAAACGAAAAGGCACGTGCTGATGGAAATAAAAGATAGAAAGGGCTTTCTGGAGGAAGTTTCTCCATGCCCTGCCATCATTCCGCCGAGCTAGACAGTACCTGCGGAGCTCCGCGAGGTTAAAACAGGAGTTAGGGCGAAGATGCAGACGGGGCAGGATACAGACTGTCCACTTCCTCCTTGCCTGGATGCAGCAGATATGGGTTCACATTGAAATCTAAATCTGAAGCCTATCAGGGTATTTCTAGTTCTCTTTTAAGTTTGCAAATATGGCTGAATGTGAAGTGAAAGTGGCTTGAACTGGGGAAGCGGCTGTATATGCAAAGGAAAACTGGGTAGGAAAGCCTTACGATGCTAGCAAGGCTATCGCTTCCATTCCACACCAGATGGGTTTTTTACTAAAACAATTAAGTTTTTGCAGATTTTTAAATGTGATGTACAAAAGCTGTGCAAAATGTTCATAATGAGTCTACGCAGATATCTTCCTGAGTTTCGGTTACTGCTACACAGGAACGGGAAAACATCATTCTAGCAAGAGCACAAGCTAGTCTGGAGCAAGGCCCAAGTGATAGGCTGTGTTTTGACTGCGGCTGCGTTGGGGAGACTGTGGCGCCAGGCTGCTTGTCATGGGCCCGTGAGAGAAGAGCATGCGTGCAGTGATGCTGGCAAGTAAGAAGCCATGGTGACTCCTCTTCTGACATTTTATGTCCTGAAGTATTTTAATGGATAACCTTTGACATGAAAAATGAAAATAGTGTCATTTTTCACTGATTTTTCCTCTTTTCCCTAGACATTATCGATATTGAAGCTATAAACTAACTGTAGCGGCCTGAGACACAATTACTATTGAACCAAGATAAAATTAACTAGTAAAACCTGTCCAATACTCTTCAATACCTGTCAAGTTCTGACAGGATTGAGTAATAGCTGAGACTTAAATTTAAAGTGTTACATCTATAAACCAGCTTGCTGAAAAAAATAAAAGTTTTTTTATAAAGCCTCCTACTGACTTTTTAATTTGTTTACTCCCTGCTGTGAATTGATTGAACTGTCTTCCTATTTCATGCTGTCCAAGGTAAGAAAAAAGAAGAAACAAAAAGATTTCGTGCTCTTTGCCATCAGATATCTGCTTATTGAAACGTGTTACGGTGCCTGCAATTACATTTGCACTGTTGTAGGATGAGGGAGTCAATGGCGGGTAATTACTGTAATTGGTAGCGGTTCTGGCTGCTGCCGGACGGGCCCCGCTGGTACTGCCCAGTGCAGCCATGCAGAAAGGCAGCTCCTCTCCTCACCGCTCACTTTCACCAGGAGAATCATCCATTGCCTCGTGCTGCGTCCATGGAGATGTCCTGGGCAGCCTTGCTCTTTCTGAGAATGCAGACCACTCTTTGGGCAATACATGAGACGAAGGATTTGGGTATTCCCCCGAAACCAACTCACCTGCTTGAAGTTCATTCAGTTAGACTCAGTAGTAAATGCTTTTCACTCCCCAAGAGGCTGCTTTTTCTTGTAGGACGTAGACAGATGTGTAGGGATATATGGTAACTCCTGCAATTCCGTGAGCAGAGATGCCTTTACATTTCATACAGGTTGGTGGGAACAAAGCATCGAAAGGTTTAATATGATCGCATGCTCAGAACAAGGTGGGCTTCAGGCCTGAAATTTAGGAGAGAAGAAGCAAACTGAGAAAGAAATACTTTTCATTTTCATATCATCTGTAAAAGGAAATAAAAAAAAGTCTCTCTGTGGCTCACATATATTGTAAATCTAAGGTATACTGGCTTATGAGCAGCATTTAAGTAGAATTTTGTAAAAAAGCATTGTGAAAACAGCAATATACATCATGTGGAAATCAGCTGAGTTAGAAAGTTGTGTTACATAGAGGGATGATGCAGGTAGCATGGAAATGGATGTGTTTTTCCGCACTCTCAGGACCAGAGTGCTGCTGTGGGGGAGCTCGGTGTCTTCTCTTTGCTCCAGCTGCGTGGTGGCACTGGGCAAGCTAACCCCAAGCTGGATCCAGAGGGTGAGGCACAAGAAAATGCCACCTTGTCCTCCCCCAGGCAGCCAAAGCACAGCCCAGGAGGAATCACTGAGCTCAGACACCAGTCCCCAGCCTCCTGCCAGACACATATGTGGGGCACCGTGCCCAAGCTCCCTCATGCTCCACTATTGGCCTGTACTCATCGAGGAGTAGGGTTTAACTTATGTCTTTCTCTGCATCCTTCTCCATACTCCAGATCCTTCCAGACCCATCATGCTGGGCACAAGGCACTTTGACAGCATCACTTTCCAGAGCCAGGCAGTTCTCCCTCCCTGCCAGACAGAGACCTTTCTCTTTTTGGTACTGAATCACATGTCACTGCCAGCCTTCCCTTGTCCTTTGCTGCGCTGCCCCAGTGAAAGCTATCCCATCACAGCCCTGTGCATGTGCACATAGAATAGAGTCACAGAATCACTGAATCACTGAGGTTGGAAAAGACCTTTAAGATCATCAAGTCCAGCCATTAACCCAGCACTGCCAAGTCCACCATTAAACCATGTCCCTAAGCACCTCTCAGATACCTCCAGGGGTGGTGACCCAACCACTTCCCTGGGCAGCCTGTTCCAGAGCCTGACAACAGTGAAGACATTTTTCCTAATACCCAATCTAAACCTCCCCTGGCACAACTTTAGGTTGTTTCCTCTTGTCCTGTCACTTGTCACTTGGGAGAAGAGACCAACACCCACCTCTCTGCAACCTCCTTTCAGGTAGTTGTAGAGAGCAATAAGGTGTCCTCTCAGCCTCCCCCAGGCTAAACAACCCCAATTCCCTCAGCTGCTCCTCACAGGACTTGTGCTCTAGACTCTTCACCAGCTCCGTTGGCCTTCTCTGAACATGCTCAAGCACCTCAATGTCTTTCTTGCAGTGAGGGGCCCAAACTGAACACAGGATTCGAGGTGCAGCCTCACCAGTGCCCAGTACAGGGGGTCGACCAATTCCCTAGTGCTGCTGGCCACACTGTTCCTGATGCAGGCCAGGATGCCATGGACCGTCTTGGCCACCTGGGCCCACTGCCAGCTCATATTCATCCGGCTGTTGACCAACAGCCCCAGGTCCTTTTCTGCTGGGCAGCTGTTGTGTTTTGACCACTTGTGACCATCCACCAGCTGGATTTAACTCGGCTGACCACAGCTTTTTGGGCCCACCCATACAGCCAGTTTTTTACCCAGTGAAGAGTGTGCCCATTTAAGCTGTGAGCAGCCATTCAAAGTCTTGTCTATCAGTACACCCAAAGTAGCAAAAGACACATGTAAGCGAAGTCATTTAAACTAAGAAGATCGATGTTGAAATTTTTTTCTTAGGAAGAGCATGAAGGAAGGCAACAGGTAGCAAAATAGTCCATTTCTATTGATCGTTTACTCCTCAGGGACAATTCAGTCCTGTGTCACAGCTGTGTAGCATGTGCTGTGTAGCACGGAATGAATCACTAAACGGATTCATAAGTAATCTGACTGTCACAGGCCTATCTTGCACATTTCACAGTGCTTTGTGGAATCGCTTGAAACCACAGTTTCTCCAGGAAAATGCTGTGGGAAGTGAGGTCAGAGGCTTTACTAAAGCCTAGATAGACAACATCCACAGCCATGCCCTCATCCACTAAGTGGGTCACCTTGTCATAGTGGTGGCCTGTAGTTCCCTGGATCATCCTTCCGTTGCTTCTTGAGATGGGTGTCACATTTGCTGATTTCCAGTCAACTGGGACCTCCCCAGTTATCCAGGGCTGCTGACAGATAATGGAAAGTGGATTGGTGAGCACTTCCACCAGCTCCCTCAGTACCTTGGGTGGAACCCACCCGGCCCCATAGAATATCTAAGTGGTGCAGCAGGTCTCTAACCATTTCCCCTTGGATTGTGGGGGCTTCATTCTGCTCCCCATCCCTGTCTTTGAGCTCAGGGGGCAGGGTCCCTGTAGAACAACTGGTCTTACTATTAAAGACTGAGGTAAAGAAGTTATAGAGTGCCTCAGTCTTTTCCTCATCCTTTGTTACTATGTTTCCCCCACATCCAATAAAGATGGGGATTCTCCTTAGCCCTCCTTTTGTTGCTAATGTATTTATAGAAACATTTCTTATTGTCTTTTATGGCAGTAGCCAAATTAAGTTTTAGCTGGGCTTTGGGCCTTCTAATTTTCCCCCTGCAAAACCTCCAAACATCCTTGTAGTAGTCCTCCTGAGTTCCCTGCCCCTTTTTCCAAAGGCCATAAACTCTCCTTTTTTTCCTGAGTTCCAGCCAAAGCTCTCTCTCCAGCCAAACCAGTCTTCTTTCCCGCTAGTTCGTCTTTCGGTACATGGGGACAGCCTCCTCCTCCGCATTTAAGATTTCCTTCTTGAAGAACATCCAACCTTCCTGGCCTCCTTTGCCCTTCAGGACTGTCTCCCAAGGGATTCATGATCACTACACCCAAGATGACCTTCAACAGTCACATCACCCGCAAGTCCTTCTTCACACCCAACAGGTCTAGTGGGGCACCTTCCCTCGTTGGCTCGCTCACCAGCTGTGTCAGGAAGTTATCTTCCACACACTCCAGGAACCTCCTAGACTGCTTCCTCACTGCTATATTGTATTTCCAGCAGACATCTGGTAAGTTGAAGTTCCCCATGAGAACAAGGGCTAGCAATTGTGAGACCTCCCAGCTCCTTGTAGAATAGTTCGTCTGCCTCTTTATCCTGTTTGTGTGCTCTGGTTCATGAGGGCTATACACCAAACATTGCATTACACCAAACATTAAAAATATCTTAACTGTTACCTCGGATGACAAACACGTATCACCAAGGGACAATTTTGCAGATGACAGATAGTTATTGGTGACGGTAATATCTTCTAGTTCAGTGCTGAAGTTATCAGACTCCTTGATGACGTTATAATTTAGGGCCACGCTGTAGTTGCTTGGTTTCTTGTCCCGTTTCTGCTGGCAGTTGCAGAGTTTCCTGAAGGCTGCTCTGAATTTCTGGGACATGAGATTGTAAATTACAGGATTGATGGCACTATTTAAATAAATACAGATTCTGCAAAATAGCAGGAACCAGTTTTCTTGGAAGGGGCTGGAGAGAAAGGAGTTGACCACCACCAGTGTGCGGTAGGGCATCCATAGAAATGCAAATAGGACTACCACCACAGCCAGCATCTTGGTAACCTGGGGGAACACAGAGGGAGACAGAAGAGGAGCAGAAGGTTAGTACTCCTGCAAGGGGTTCCTGGAAGGAACATGTGCATTCCTACATCTCTAGGACCAAAGCAAAACTCCAGACAAACTCTTCTTATGGGAATTTCTGATCAATATTTGATTCAGAAAGGTTTTCTACAGTAAGAACAACAAAAAACCCCTCGCTTCAGATTTCTCCTAGTTTTTGTTAAATGACTTCAGGTGACATCCCAGTAAGCTGATTGTTATAGACCTGAGAATTTGCAACTTCTCAAGCTGGAAAGAAGTGTTGATTCAAATGGAAAAAAAGGGGTCTAAAGCCATTTTTCCCAACCACATTAGGGTGGGAAACAATCCACTTTTAAAAGAAGTGACTTGTGGATTTTGGATTACCAACCGGACTGAGCCCAACCAACAGATGTGTTGCATCAGCTCAGCATTCTCAGGGTGAGTCGGTAACAGCTTGCACAGGCATCAAGTCCCTTTCTATCAGAAGCTCAGCGGGGGACTCTTATCATACCTACTGATCACTGGCAATTTGCATTTCTTCTGAGTATGTCTTTAAAGAACAGTTGCTCAGACAATCACAGTGGTGCAGCTGTCAGTTTGAATCCTGGACTGAACTAGAAATAAATTGATTTTACTGTCAGGAAGGGGCTATTTTAGGGTCACACAGTTAATACTTTACAGCAGTGAAAAAAGAGGCGGTTACTCTTGAAATGAATAGGTCCTGTACGCCTCAAAGTCATATATGTATGTAGCGTGCAAACTGTTAGCTGAATTCACATATACTGGCAGCTTGAGGTGCATTTTCCTTCTACCTAACACCACTAGCTTGTACTGCTGCTGTATTCAGCTTACTGCAGCTGTGATTTGACAGTGTATTAGAACTGGTCCTTAGCACCAGATAAAAAAAATACCATGGTCACAGCACAACGTGCTCTGTGCTGAAATCAGTTCAGTCTGAAGGCTGCATGTGTTTAAAAATGCCAAGAGGTTAGTTTCGCGCTGTCAGGCTTTATGCCAGGGAAAACACTGTCTTGCCAGCAGCACTCAGACCCCATCAGTTGGTCTTGACATAATCTGAAGCCCCAGTAACCTGTGATTGTAGCTGAAAAAGCAATCCTGTTTTCACTTGTCTCCTTGTTCTGGCCCCAGCAAGGAGGGTGCGGGTCAGGTCAGACTGCTGGTCCAACTGAAAACTAAGCACTCCTCCGAAGAGCTGGTTGTCGGTTTGCTCAGGGTGACAGCAATCCAGCTCATGTACCCACAAGCCACAGAGTCTACAGTCCGTGCAAGGGATGAGGCAGAAGTATGTGGCCGTGGACAGCACCGCTTTGGTGGCACCTCTTGGTGGTTCAATCGGTGCAGGCTAACAAGAAGAATTCACCATAATTTTAAACTCTCTGCAGTGCCTATCCTTCCAAAGCTGCCAAAAATCACAGTTCTGGCACAAGCTCTGTATTGCCAGGCAGAAGTTCAGCTGCCTGATCCAACTGCCCAGTAGTGTTTGTGTCCCTGAGACGAACCCTGAGTTCACATTGCTCCTTGCTCCTTGGCAAATCCTCCCTAGGCTGGCTCTGGAGGCAGAGAGTTTTCACACCCACACTTCAGAGCATGGCCTTTGTGCAAATGACAGCAGCTCCTGGAAGGTGCTCTGGCAGCTCTCACTTTGTTCCCAGTGCGGCCGGAGGAACAGTCGCCCCACCGCAGGCTGAGGCACCCCTCAGGGCTTCTGTCCCACAAGCGCTGCAAGCACGCCCTGGACTTTTTTCACTCCTGAATTTGCCTTTGCAAATGAACCCAGCTTCTAAACAGATGATTTAGGCCAAAGATGCTTTCTTAGCCACATCAAAAACCTTCAGTGGGATTGAGGAGGCTCCACAGAAGTAGTTTAGAGGAAAGTTTGGTCCACTTCGCTTAAAAAACTGCCTTACCCTTTTTCAAATCACTTAATATGAAACATAACTAAACATAATTTTGCGGGGGAGGTGTAATTATTTGACATCAATAGAGTGCTAAGTGGACAAAACTTTTTAAGAACCTGCTTTTCATTCCCTGTTACTGTACACCGAAGTTCCCTGAAAGCAGAGGCACTAGCATCCTCCTTCGTTACTCAGCTGAAGGCAAGCACAGATTGCTCTTTTCTTGTGGATGTGTACTGCCTATCCTGTAGTCAGAGTACAAATTGTTTTAGTTAAGGAGATTGAAAACATGATTAAATGGCTTTGAGCAAATCCATTTTAGTCCGAATTTCAAGTGTACTTTGAATGATACCAAAGTGCTTGCGATTGAATGTGTTCCTTGCTGCATGCAACCAATCTTCAAGCCATATCTTTTGGGGTTTGAGAAACTAAAATGTTTAAAATGCTTTTTTTTTCTGAATAGATTGCAAATATTTTAATTCTGAATTGGTATTCTCCTTTTTCTTCCTTCTCCAAAACCTTGTCATTTTAAGAAAGTGCTATTTTACCAGCCATTTTCATTCCCATGGCACTAACAGCTTGGTATTTGCTTTCTTCTCCTTTGAATATTAATTTTTATTGCATTAATAGGTATAAGTCATAGTCATATTTATTAAGTTGCTGTGCCATGGAGCCACTCCAGTGTTTTAAAGGCATGTAATAGTATCTCTCTTTCTTGTGCTTGCTGGTGTTCATTGCAATGCACAGAGATTGTATACGCCAGCCTGTGATTCTGTAATCCAAAAGAAGTGTAGAATGACGAGGATTAAATAAATAAAAGGATTAATGTCTTGATATAATAACAGTCCAAGTGAAACTAAGCGGTATGACTGAGCATTTCATGTAAGCCATGTAAAATTTATCTTGCATTGCAAGCTGGAGTCTGAGCTCGCTCTGCTGGGAGAAAACAGAGGGGTTTCTTTAGGGGGCAGGTGATCACGTAATGCATCACTGTCTAGAGAGGACTTTCTCTAGAGGGTAACCTGCCTTTTTAAATTGACTGTGGGTGGATCTTAGATGATTTGATGGGATTAAGCAACTAATTTTGTGAGATGCACATAATGTTAAGTGAGTTGGATCCCATCCCAAGTATAAACAAACGTTTGCTATCTAAGGCTGTATTTATTTGTCATTGTTCCCTTGATACCTGAGGAAACGAGGAGTTCCTTTGGGGAAAGTGTGAAATCTACCTACAAATACATAATTCAGTGTATATAAGGGATGGACAAGAAAACATATGGGACCTGTTGGCTGAGCTTGGTGTGGTAAAATGGACTTGTGAGAGAGATCAACACAGCCAGAGCCAGGATGTGACCTGGGTGACTGGAAAATGAGGAGCATACAAGAAAGAGAAAAGGAAGCACACAACTCAGGTTGTGACTCCATAAGCAATTCAGCCAGACAATGTGTGGGCTCTCAGCTGCTGTAAAAGGGGACCAGGTGGATTCCTTGTCTTCCCACCTGCTTCCCCAGGCCTCTTGCTCTCTTTAAAAGGTAATGAGATGCTTGCCAAGCTAGTTCACAGAACAGGTACACTCAGAAAAAAAGGATTTCATTTTCCCCACATTTTCAAAGTTTTCCTGTGTGACAGGCAAATCCCTTTACTGTCCTTAAGTTTTAAATTCTCTCACTCTCTTCTTCCTTCCCTCAATGCCTGGGTCTTCAGCACATTTTCTTGATTCAAAGCAGAACAAAATTATTCAAATCTTCAGAAGAAAAGGCACTAACATTTAGAAGTGCTGATAGATCTAATACCTGTGCTACTAGAAGAAAAAAAAAAAAGGAGGACCATTAGAAAAATAAAGCACGCACAGAAAAAAAAAAAGGTAGAAATAGCTTTTTCCCCCCTCATATTGCAAGCTGTAGAGAAACATATAATGTTGGTCATTGTTACTTGTTAGTGAAGCTGTGTTTTATTGTGAAATCTGCTCTTAATACTTTGAACAACATATTCTCTATTAATGAAATTAAATCTTTCTTTCCCTTCTTTCCCTCCTGTCTTTTTAATAAAAGATGTGGGAATAGAATGCCTAAAATAGACAAGAAGGGAAAGTGTGATCAACCTTGGACTTTTACCATGCTAGGTACACATCTATTCTGAACTCATTGTCCTGAACTGCAACTATAAAAGAAGTGGCTAAACCTTCCAAAGTTCAAATAGGATCTATTATTTATTTTATTTCTGCAAGCAGAGACAGTTTAGATATAAGTGAAATTGTGATGGTGTTGTATGTGAAAAAAAAGAAAAAAATTGGACACTTATTTTGATACTTGTGGTACTTTAAAGATACAGAAAGGAAGACTAAAAGTAAAGACTGAAGAATTGTTAGCTTGAATTTCAGGCATGTACAAAGAGAAGGTGTAATGTACATGAATGTAAGTTGACTATGAACTGCTGCTTGGTAGAGGCAATAAGCTGATTATATTGGATTTTGTTAATTCATTATTTTTGGTAATGGACAATCTGGTCAAACTTGTATTTTTTCCAAATTGTATTTATAACACACATTACTATTTATGTGTGATAAATACCTGTAACTGCAGTTAATGCTTGCTCAATTGTTATTAATTTTGATTAGGATACAGTCAGTGAATGTGTTTTCTGGAAAATTTAACAATGTGTATAGTTTGCAAGTACCATTAGCAGGCCACCCCAGCTTCTCTGGGCAACCTGTTCCAGTGCCTCACCACCCTCACAGTGAAGAATTTGTTCCTTCTATCTAGTCTAAATCTACCCTCTTTCAATTTAGCCCATTACCCCTTGTCCTGTCACTACAGGCCCTTGTAGAAAGACCCCCCCCATTATTTCTTGTAGGCCTCTCCAGGTACTGGAAGATGCTATAAGGTCTCCCTTCTCAGGCTGAACAATCCCAAGGTTATGTTGGTTATGATGTTGAAATCACAAACAATTTCAGAGACCATGAAACAGAAGAATGCCACTAAAATACTGGGTATGTTGCAATCAACAGCCAATCTCTTACTGAGGAAAGGAAACCAGGTGTTATAATGCTACTTGCCTATAAAATG